GGTTGCTGTGTACAAGTACACAATTGCTGAGCGCACGTTGCCAAATGTAGACTTTCCTGTTACTCCACGCTGCTCCATAGATGTAAGATAACGCATACAATCTTGCGTAGATAAAGAGTCCAAACACACGGGACTTCGCAAAGGTGGTCTTGACAGCCACGAAGTAATTGTGCCTGCGTTAATAGTCTAAAGCTCTCGGAATGAGCTAGTGAAAAGTGTCTGCCGTCGATCGTCGTCTGTGTTAGTATGCAGCCACTCCACAAAGCGAGCTATTGCACGTAAATACGTGTACTTGGTCTTCTCCGCTGTCGTATTCTCCAGCACTTCTTCAACGCGTGCATCGAGCTCGTCCATCGTTGCCCTTAGCTCAGTGACCTTTCAAGATCACATAAATATTTTTCAGCCAATCACAATCGTCAAATAATCTTAGTGCAATTTGCACGGCGAATTCCATCCATCTATACATGGTGAACTGAAACTAGTTGGCTGAAGACCTCGGGCGCGAGATCGCGAGCGCGCTACTGTCATTTTTTAGAAATAAGATTAGCTTAGATTCTTACATTGAAGTTGCATAAAAAAGCCGTCATGTTGTCGGCATTCTCGCCAAAGTAGTTGCTGGCGCGTTGCAAATTAACATCCATGAGTGAGGAGATACAAACATCCACTGGAGAATAATCCCCAGATACTTCACTTTGCTGATGCAGGCTCTTGTTGCGGTTCGCCTCGCTGAGGAAAGTTTGCAGTTCGCAGTATTTCCAGTTGTCCCAGATCCCATCGGAAGCCACCAGCACCATGAAGCTATGCTCGCTCGAGTTCTCGCTGGTGTTGTTTGAGGCGTAGGCAGTTCTGACTTCACCGTTGTCATATGTACTACTGTGGCTATACTCTTGGTTGCTAACTGCTTGGGTGGTAAGTCCGAGGTCTCTTGCGACGATAAGCTCGAGAGAGAGCTCCACCACTGTCGGGTTGCAGCTGACACCGTAGCTATGCATTTGGAAATCACCAAGTGAACGCGTGAATGCCAGCGCGTCTGGGAACAATGAGTTACAAGGTGTTGCAACTACAGTGGCCCATTCGTTGCGGACGTTCTTGTAGTATTCACCATTTGAATTGCGGTGCAGATCGCCTGTGCTGGTCATGGTGAAAATAGGAAGTCGTTTGCCTTTTGGCTCTGAAGTGTCGTACACAAAGCGCAGAGCTGGTAGTGTTGGGTCGAGAGAGCTGCATCGTGCAGATCGGGCTCGGAAGAACTCGGTTGTACTTTCAGGACTGTGGTTACCGGACAGCAGCAGGAGATCAGATTCGGGTGTACAATTGTTGTCCAGCTCGTCTTCATCACGGTGTGACTTGTTTTGCCGATACACATCATCACCATCGTTCCCATACACTTTCACGTCGTCTGCATGCAGAGCAGGACTCATCGAGGTCAGCAGCACCGCTGAGTCGCCGACGTTTGCCGAGTAGATCTTTCGTCCCCCATTTAAGATCACGACTATCGTCGCTGTGGTGCCACCTCGAACACTCGCCATAGTTCCCGTGTGCCAATTGTGGCGTACCAAATACCCTTCCGAGTGTTTTTCCTCTACGAAGTATCCAGCTCGCTCGTAGAGATCTCGCAGCTTGTGTTTGAGGGCCTGGTGGCATGACGTGAACAAATGCTGAAAGAATTCCTCTGGGTCGCGTTCCAGTCTCGCATAGTCTTTGTGTGAGTAGCCCTGGAACTGCGCCTCGAAGTATTGTTTGGCTGCGTGAGCGATGTCGCGTCCAGTGTCTTTCCCGTGGCCGTCGAAGATACCCACCACCAATGCGGTGTTCTTGGGATCGTAGATAGTGAAGAATGCGTCCTGGTTCTCGCGGTTGTCGGCGCCTCCAACGTTGCTGACTCCGCTAACAGCCACACTCACAGTCAGCCCGGAATTTTCCCATTGCGACTGGAAGCAGATCGGATGGGAAGCCCGCGAGGTCATCGGTGGCGGCAACTAGAAAGATTGAAAAGTGAATAAAAGCCGTGGTGAAGTCAGGTTCGGCCGTTATCCTCTAGTGCGAGCACTGTTCCGCCTTCTCGTTGAAGCGGATTTTAAACGTCATTTACCCAATCCTGACCAATCAGTTGGCAACGGTCAATAGCTCAGGTCTCTGTGGTTGTAGCTTTTATTGGTATGTACACTTATCCACGTAGTATCTATCTGAGGTAGGCATCTACGGGGACGCGTTGATTTTGGTCTTGATGTAGTGCAACAACACGGCAGCAGGGCGTCGCTCGAAGTCCTGGAGCGTCTCGTGGCTCGAGAGCACTTGGTCGCCGTTCAGACGGTTCAGCAGGGTCACACAGACCACCGCAACGGGGATGTTGAGCTTGTGGCAGAAGCTGGCCATCAGGCGCGCCTCCATCTCGATGTTACGCACACCTGCGTCGGCCAACTTCTGCAAGAATGCCATCTTGTCTTCGAGCGTGTACTCGCAGATGGCACCGTCGAGGCGGCCTTGGCCCTCGTAGAAGTCGTTGCAGCTGAGCGTCTTGCCCACCGCGTAGGGCAGTCCCACCTCCTTGGCAGCAGCGATGATCTCCTCGCGCACCTCGGGCGAGCAGATGGACGGCCGCAACACAGTGTTTCCAAGCACGGCCACCTCATCCACGGACTCCAACTTGTTGTTCACGCCCTCAGATGTGATGACAACGGTGCCAGGTTCGACGCCGATACCGCCGCTCGTGCCCATACGGATGTAGGTGGCACCATGTGCGCCGGCGTATTCAAGCAGCTTGGTGACCTCGTGCAGTAGGATGGAGATGGACGGCATGCCGATGCCGTGGTTGGCCACAAGCACGGGACCAACCTTGTAGAGCGTGTAGCGCGACGTGCTGCCGATCGGGGCCAGTTTGTAGCCGTAGGGCGTGGAGATGCCAAGCTCCTTGGCCACCAAATGCGCGAAATGGGTCATGCGCTCGGCGCTGCCGCCAGTGATGAAGAACTTGACGTCGCCGAAGGTGTTGACGACCTGCTGACGCTCTTCTTGCGAACACGTCAGCCCGATGTGGAACAGCACGTCCGATTGCATCTCGAGGATGTGGCTGTTGCGCACGTGCACCTGCGGAACCGTGGCGTCGGTCGCGCTTGCGTCCATGTTAGGGGCCATGTTTGAAGACTTGAGTTGCGGGCTAGACGAGCTTGACTTGCGCTTGAAAGGGAAAATTGGATATTGATGCTCGACCAGCTGCAGACGCACTTGGGGCTAAGATGCAGAGGCATGCGCTTGTGTGACAGCCATGGCACAAACAGCAACTTGCACTACAACAATGAATGCGTGCACCGGATTTGGTGCTCTTAATTAGCTCAAGACTAATGTACTGTAATGATGCTGTCATATTCAGAGGTAAGCAAACGGCAAGGCACGTAGACGAATAAAACCCGCGGCAGTGACGTGGTCATGTTTGTCAAGCAGATTTACCGTCGAAACAGTCAAAGCATCTGCAACCACAGCAGTAAGGCGAGGGTAGCTGACACGTGCACGGGTTAGTATCGCTGTGTTCACTGGTGCCTAGAGACACTGCGCAAAAAGTCAAAACACCAGCAGTCCAATCTTGCAATTGGGATGCGACTTCTTTCCAACATCCACTTTCTTTAAATGGAGAATGAAAGCGAGTAGTTTATTACTCGCCGAAGTTTTCGTACATATTCATGGCCTCCGTCTCCACCGCCCGTCCGAATGCTTCGAACGCGTGTTGAACCTTCACCAGTCGACCCGCCAACGCCATGAACGGATCATCCAGTGCACGCTCCTCCCAGAAGCCGTACTCTGGCTTGTCGGTCTGATAAGTGTCGACGTCTGCGAGGTGGTCGAGTCCGGAGCTTAAACTCACGCCCACCGCGACCAAAGTGCCTACCTGGAAGGCCCACCAGAAGTCCTCCGAGCTGTAGTACAAGTAGCTCGTCAACATCGTCCAGCAGAGTATCTCCACCAAGGAACGCAACCAATGATCCTGCCAGTTTCTTCTGACCTTGGTAAACCGCGACTGAAGTGTCAGTCCAACACGCCGTGTCGGTAGCCAGAGGCAACAGAACTCGGCCGTAACCACGAAGGCCACACCCGTACAAGCTGTCAGCAGAGCAAAAAACTTGACATCGTGATAATTTTCCCACAATGAACGCACTGCCACGACTCCAAGGTAGCCAAACACCAGGTTCTTGATGAGAGTGATTTCCTGGCCGTCCGTCGGAGCCTTGCCGTTCTTCGGCACGTCAAAGCCAAGACGTTGCAACAAGTCTCCGCCTCCTGGCTGGTTACGGATAACGCGCGCCAATCCACGCACAAACTGCAACACAATTTCGTCGCACACGGACATCATGGCGCCTACAAAGGTTCCAACCTCCAGGGCAAACAGCAGGTCACCGTATAACGAGTAGGTCGCACACGTGACACTGATCCAGCACACCATCTCCAAAAAGGACTGCAGCGTCTTCGTGGCCCAATTGAAGCGAGCGTCCGTAAACCTCCGCACCAATGCCGTGGCGACCAGAGGAGCCATGCGCACCGAGAAGCTGCCACAGAATTGCAGCACGGACTCGGACAGCACGTCCGTGCTGGGCATGAATTTGCCGTAGAAGTCACTGTTATCCAGGATCTCCTGGGTGCCGTCATGTCCGGGGTACAGGATCTCATACTCGCTCTCAGAATCGCTGCTGCTACTGTTGCCTTCTGCAACAGAGTCTGCCGTCTGTACCTAAGAGACAACAAGAACAAGGAACGTGTTAGAATCTAGGACCTCCTGCTACTGCTACTATTGCCGCTTACCTCAATGGGAGGTTCGCCGTGACTATTGCTGCTTTTGAGAGCTGCGTAAGGCGCTGTTCGGTGGAGCACCGCTGCATTTGTCGTCATGATGTGTTGTTTTCTCCTTGCCAACTGGGCTCATGTCGCTTCGAGGTAAACGCCTGAAGAAGCTTCTCAGACATACTGAAATTAATAGTAGTTGTATCTAAATGAAAGCTTCTGATCAGTGTTCAATACACAACTTCAGAAATGACCTTGAAGGTCTACCGCACCTGAGATCCGACACAGCCGCCAGAGAATCCCTCGCCGGCTGGAGCGCGCAGACCGATCCCCAACGATGGAAGACGACGACTCTACGCCTGAGGTGACGTCCGCACCGATCAACGGCCCAGAACAGGGACGCAGGGAGCGTCACCTCTCGTCGGGTGCCATGAACCTGGCGCTTCAGGACGACCAGTGGACCTTCGAGTCACCTGTGTCACAGCAGCCAGGCCAGCCGTTGGTAGTGCGGCCCGGAACTTACCGTTACCTGAAGGGTGCGGAGCTGGAGGGGGTTACCTACGACTTTGCCATCGTTACTCGTAGGCACACGAGCAAGAAAAAGGAGAATAACGCATCCATTAACATTGATGTGACTGTGGATATTAGCACTGGAGTGGAAGGCAGTCTCATTGAGAAACTGGTGGCCAGTGGTCTGGATGTGGACGTGCTGGAAGGAGACTTTAGCCAAGTGGAAACTGACGGCAAGAAGACCAGCAAGTACTTTGTACTGCTGATCCGTGGGAACGACGAGGCGCTAGCAATCTATGGACGGAGGCTGAGATTCCAGACGTGGCTGCGCAGTGGCAACTCGCGCGAAGTGGACTCGGTAGTGCAGAGTAGTCCTATTGTCACCCCAGCTGAGAGAATCCAAGTGATCGACCATATTATCCGAGAAACAGCCAAGATTACCAAAGACCACCCCAACGTGCGATCCATTTTTCCCGTTCACGACCCAGCTACCAACCGATACTTGTTAAAAACGTTCATTGGGACCCAAAAGCTTGAGTTTCTGTCGGAGAGCTTCTTGCGTAAAGTGAGAGCTCATTTTGGAGAGAAAGTCGGATACTACTTCGCGTTCATGGATTTCTACAACAAGGCGCTGGTGCCGATCGCGTTGTTAGGTGTACTATTGACGTGTCTGCGTGGTGTTATGGGTACTCCCGTGTACATGCGCGTGCTTGTGGGCTGGGCAGTGCTTATTTCGGTGGTCTGGAGCTTCGGGTTCCTCAAGGCATGGTCTCGTCGCAATAACGAACTCAACCACATGTGGGCGAACAATATCGACACCCACACAATTGTGTATCGTAACCCGAAATTTCGTGGTGAAGCGTTTGTGAATCCCGTCACGGGTTTACCGGATCAATACTATCCGAGCTGGAAACGGTATCCCAAGTACCTGGCGGTGGTGACCTTCATGATTGTGCAGATCTCGATCATGATGTTTATTATTGCTATTTGGATTACCGCGTTTGAAGTGCTGAAAGTGCGTTACCCGGACAGAGGAATCTTCTCGGCGCAGTGGTTCTACATCCTTGGCGGCGGTATCCTGTACGGTTTGTTCGTTGATATTATCCAGTGGAGTGTGATTGTGACGAAGGCTGCGCGTATGTTCACTGAGTGGGAGAACTGGAAGACCATTGAACAGTTCGAGAAGTCTATGATTCGGAAACTCTTCCTCATGGATTTCCTCAACTACTACACGTGGTTCTTCCTGCTGGCTTTCGTGTATGTGATTCCTGGTGCTGGTGATACGATCACCAACTTTCTCAACACGCTGATCTGGAAGGACCCAGCCAACTGCTGCTTTGGACCGTATATGGATCGTTCGGGCGCGTATTGCGACTCCTGTCCACCAGCATGGAATGAGATGGGGCTACGTGAAACACGTTGTATTCCGTGTCGTGGATGGGTAACCTTCGATATCAACCACCTCGACTTGGAGACTCTTTTCCTTACACCCATCATCATTACTCAATTGCTGAACCTCCTCATTGCTGTCGCCGTTCCATGGATTCACCGCAAGCACTACGAACAGCGACTACGTGGAACTGATCGCAAGGTTATGGCTATGGTTAAAGCACAAGGAGAACGCCACCTGCTCGCGGAAATGTCATATCGGACTGAAGACTCCGATGACGCACACAGTCACGATGTGAGTGATCGCAGCAGCACTATTGACCGTAGTAGTAACAACCTCGCTCATCTTCTGAATCGATCGTCGGCACGGTATTTGGAGAACAGTGAGCGTGAGGTGGAGCTGCTAAATGCGAAGGTGCGCGCAATTCTGTTTGAAAGCGAGCAGGAAAACTACGACCCGTATGATGACTACCACCACATGACAGTGCAGTTCGGCTTCGTGGTCATGTTTTCGATGCTGTGGCCGCTCATGCCTGCTGCTTGCATGATTGTAAATGCCCTCAAGACTCGTGGCGACGGCTTCCGACTGTGCCGAACCAACCGGCGGCCATTCCCACGCAAAGCCAGCGGCATCGGCGAGTGGCACAGCATGCTTCACGTCCTTGCGCTTACTGGCGTGATTGTCAACATTGGCCTCATCTTCATCTCCACTGGAACCATGGAGTTTTTCTCGCCGTCTTGCTCGAAGCAGATCACGTACGCTATGGGCGGCGATTTTTCCCATTACCGCTTCGGTCCAGACTTTGCGTGCTTCTCACTTACCACGCGTATGGTCATGATCCTCGTGAGTGAGCATTTGTCATTGTTGTTGATCTGGTCATTTTGGAAGATCATTCGCAGTGTTCCGGCCAATGTCCAGCTCGACATGCTGCGTCAAGAATACGCCTTCAAGTCCAAACTGTACGAGCGCGCGGAGAAGAAAGCGAATACAACCGCTGCTTCATTGGCTGCTTCAGCAGCGCTGCCTGCTCGTGGGGGCGGCAGCACGCATACCATGTACTCAACTACGGTGGTGAGTGGGCCGACGACTCCTACCGGAGTCTCGCAACGCGGTGGAGTGTTCGTGGGGTCGACGGAGGAGAAAGAGCCGCTGCTGTCGACCAAGCGGCTGGCACAGGCTTGGGACTTGGCCAAGTCGCCGTCCAATCCGCACTCAAACCAGGACGAGCCTTGAGAGAGCGGCTGACATCGACGCAGATGTCTTATCTATGAATTGCTTATTCTGCTACACTAGATTCGTGTGGCTTTAGAGCGTGAAGCGTTGGGCTAGTTGAAGCTGCTAAATCTCGTGTTTGCCTCCATGTTTACCATTGTCGATTTGCACCTGTTGCGCGGAATAAGGTGTTGGTTGCTTGGACTTCCAGGCGCCGGAAAATGGTGTCGGAAGAACGGATTACAGCTGGATCGCATGAACATGGTCGTCCTCGTTCCTCGTAGCGCACCACGGTATACGCTGACGTGGTGAACCTTGTGGTCTAATCGACACTCGCGTAGTAATATAGTGCTACTGAACGTAGTAATTATCTGTATTAAGGTCATTTCTGTATTTCCGGTATGCCTCTCACTAGAAATATAGTATTGCTACCATTTTACATTCAAAGTGAAACCTTAAGAAGAGAAGTTTGAATAGTACTTCGATAAAGTAGTTACTACAGTGCTTTTCAACTACGCATCAAACGATTTGGAAGAGACAAAATCGAGCTATCGCTCTAAATACTATTCATACCAGTTGGTATCTGGTCTATCACTTCCGTACCGTCCGACCGACTCTATCGCGTCGTCCGGCACTCTCGAATTGCACTTCCAGCGCACAGTCCACCGTCGGCCAGAGAAGAACAAGCAAGAAACCTGCAGCATCATGTCCTTCCGCGCGCCCGTACAGGCCCGTGGTGGTGGTTACGGTCTCGACGCCGAGCTAGCGCGCAAGGCAGCCGAGCGTTACGACTACGACATGGAGAACGAGGCTCGCGTTTGGCTCGAGACCATCTCGGAGATGCAGATCGGCGATGACTTCGGTGAGGGTCTGCGAGACGGCGTAATCCTCTGCACCACAGCCAACAAGATCCACCGAGATGTGGTGAAGCGCGTGGAGACCAAGTCCAAGATGCCCTTTAAGCTCATGGAGAATGTGTCCGCCTTCCTCAAGGCCTGCCGCATTATGGGAGTCAACGAGTTCGACCTGTTCGAGACCGTGGACCTATTCGAGCTTAAGGATCTGGGTAACGTTGTGCGCTGTATCTTCGCACTGGGTCGGGCTGTACAGCGCAATTACCCGGACTTCACGGGCCCCACGCTCGGCGTCAAGGAGAGCATCAAGAACCAGCGCTCCTTCACCTCCGACCAGCTCGCCGGCGGCAAGAACATCCCAGCGCAGCAGACGCTCGGCAGCTTCCGCACTATGAAGCGCCAGACCACGTCCTACTCGAACAACGTCATGCTCGGTGCGGACGCCGCTCAGAGCGCGTACCGTGCACCGCCTCCTCCTCCACCTCCGTCGGCCGAGAAGATCGAGCAGCTGTCTCGCTTCCGCAAGGCAGATCAGCTGACGACGTTTGACTCGCAGCCTGACGGTGAAATTTCGCCTACGAAGCACGCGCCAACGAAGGCGGAAGTTGAAGCAGCGGTGGCTGAGCTTACCGACGATGTGGACAAGACGACTCTGGACGACACGAAGGTTGCTTCGTCCATTCCAGGCTTGAACAGCGTGACTACCAGCTCTGGACCTACAGCAGAGGAAGAGGCCCAGGAATGGATTGAGGCTGTGTTGGGCGAAAAGTTCTTGGCGAGCTTTGGTGACAGCTTGAAGGATGGAGTGATGCTGTGCTCGCTGATGAACAAGATCAAGCCTGGCCTGATCCCGCGCATCCAAACGTCGTCCATGCCTTTCAAGCAGATGGAGAACGTGAGTGCCTTTGTACGTGCATGCCGTTCCATTGGCGTGGCGGAGTTTGATCTGTTCGAGACGGTTGATCTGTACAACCAGAAAAACTTGGGACAGGTGGTGCAGTGCATCCACGCGCTGGGCCGCACGATCCAGAAGACGATGCCCGAGTACAATGGTCCGCTCCTTGGCGTGAAGGAGTCCACCGTGAACCCTCGTCAGTTTTCAGAGGCTCAGCTTCGCGAGGCTGCGGCAGCCGTGCCAGTGCTAGCAAACGCCAGTCAATCGTTGATGGAGCGTCTTCCCTTTGATCACTCTGCGTCGATCACCTACCGCTACGACACGGCCGCCAATGCTGCTGCTGTTGCTGACAAGGCGAACAGCGAGAAGAAGTCACCGAAGCCTGAACCGAAGACTGTTGAGCCGGAAGTCCAGCCGGAGACTCCTGTACAGCCTCAGCCCGCAGAGGCTGAAGTGGCATCTGCTCCTGAACCGGAGAAAAAGGAAGCTGAAGCTGCGCCGTCTGCAGAGGTGAAGGAAGAGGCAGCTAAATCGCAGGGACCTAGCTGGCTAACGCAGCGAGTGGCGTCCCTGAACTCGGTGAGCTCTGGAAACGCTGCGAAGCCGCACCTACCTGTCGGAGGCTCCTCTTCCGTGCTACCGACGCGTACTATCTGGAGCTAAGTGGCTACTCGCAAGTTGTCACACAAGAGCTTTAGCGATGACTAATGGAGAGATTACTGCGTTTATGCGTGTGTAAGATATTCGACGACAGTTCACGGTGTGTTACATCCTTCCTTAATGAACCCTTTGCTGCCGTCATTCGAGTGCTTTTTGATGTTATCGTGTTGTATTAGTTAGGCTTTATTTCTATCAGTACAAGCCCGCCACCTCACTGAGCAGACTCGTGCAAGGTTTGTCAATACGCAAGCTGCACAGCTCGTCTGCACGCGTGGGTCCCAAGTTCACGATGGCGATCGGGATCTTGCGAGCGTGTGCGTGGTTGATAAGACGCATAGCCGAGAAAACCTTCAGCGATGAGCCTATGACCAGCAACGCGTTGGCATCGCTCACACGCTCCAGTGCAGTCATTCGTGTCGCCGCAGGCATATTCTCGCCAAAGAAGACGACTCTAAAGCAGCGAGCAATAATAGCAGGTGATCCAAATGACATGCCTCGTTATCATGATGAAAGCTGCGAGGCTTACCTGGGTTTCATGATGCCGCTACAGTTGCTGCATGCAGGATAGACAAAGTCGTCGTAGTTCCACGAGATATCGACATCACCGTCCGGGTTCACTTTGTCACTGGAAGCCACGTCGCCAGTCTCTTTGTCTGGATTATCCGTCGACCATTTGGCGACCTTGGGGTTCAGCTCCGCCAGTTCTTCCTGGTAGCTCTGACGGGACGTTACCTGTCCACAGCCCTGACATTCCACCTCATGCAGCGACCCGTGCATCTCCACGACGCTATGTGAGCCGCTTTTAGTGTGTAGGCGATCCACGTTCTGCGTGAGAATACTAGAGATTGCGGCGGCTTGTTGTAGCTCTGTCAGCGCGTAGTGCGACCCATTGGGCTGCGTGTTTAGAATCTTGGGCCAGCCGAGGAAGCTGCGCGCCCAGTAGCGCTGACGATACGTGTGCGCTCCAATAAACTAGACGCGTGAAAATGCACAGTAATAAGGTCAGTGCGATTACAAGACAGACTATTATGATACAATGTCGACCTCCTGGAACTGGATGGGACGGAAGTCTTTGTTGCGGTTGTACACGCCATTGGGGCCTCGGTAATCGGGGATGCCCGAGTCCGTCGAAATGCCTGCACCCGTCAGCACCATCGTCTTGCCGCGACCGGTCTCCAGGAACTTTCGCAGCCGTGTGGCATCGCCAACGGAGGCGGCCTTCTTTATGGCTGCAGGCTGCATCTCGATCAAACGGAATTGTGATTTTGTGGAGTGTCATACTCCATAACTTTACATAGGCAAGTTACGGAGTGGTTCCGAGTTTATGAGAATGGGGCAACGAACGACCACGGCAGACAGCACCTTTATTATACGTTCATTGATCCCTGGGTAGTGATGCTCTAAATGCTCTAACAATATGAATGGCAAGCCTAGATTACAATGACTGGCATAATGTTCACACTGGTGAACTCTGTTGAATACAAGCAATTATTAGCGTTCAGGCCCCACTCTCCAATTTCCAGCGTCGAAGTAACAAAGCTCATCCAATAGCACAGGTGATCGATTACTTCTAGTGTATGATGTCCCGTCCCTAAGTTGCCACATTGGGAGTCTGACATCAAGGCCGGCTCAGGGACTGAGTGGTCTAAGCTACTGGCGGACAAATATTGAGGTTTCTCAACCAACTCGTGTGGTAAAAGATGGTGTTGTAGTGAGCCCGCATTTGCTGTCATCACAGTACTGCTTGCCCGACCCTTGCAGCCCACAAGAGCATCGTTGGGCTACGAGCAGACGGTCAATGCGAAGCATGAGTTAATACGTTTCCAAAGCCTGCTTTGATTGCCAGCTCCTTCCATGTGACTTTTTCTTCATCAAGTTCATGCATTGAACAAGAACGCACGCCAAAGTCGGCGGGTTAGAACACTACTACCATAGCCAATAAAAGGTTGCTTCATTTTAAGAGATTTACCGTTTACACGCAATCACATGCAATGCCGGTCTCCCTTCTTCTTCGCTCGCATGTCCAGCAGCTCCTCCCGACTCCTCTCCACATTAGCATCCTACACACACCAAGACACATCAGTAAGTTATCTGCATCCTCTTCTCCGCAATCTCCTACTCTACATCACCTCTTTGACAATTGCGTATCCTCCATAGGCCCCGCTCTTCTTGACTCTGTATGTATACTGTCCCCCCTGCTCCGTACCCCCAGCATAGGTTCCGAACGCTGTCTTCTCGTCCATTTTGCGCTTCTTTTTCTGCTTTTCTTGCTCTTCCTCTTTCCCCTCTCCGTCCTCAGGAGGAGCCTTGATGTAGTAGAAGGGCGTGGACGACACCAGGTCTGAACTGAAGGCGGAACTAATGCTGGCTGACACATCGCTCAACACCATACGCACGATACGCGTCTCCTCAGCTAGTGACGTCGGGTGTTGAATCACGATGGCGTCTCCCACATGCAGCTCCTGTAAGAACTTGGAGCCCACCTGACCCATGAGCGTCGTGCCTGAGCTTAGCAGACGGCCTGATCCGCGTACTTTTACCAGTTCGAAAGGTTTCGGCGCGACATCAGAGGCGGCAGCATCGCGCTCGCGCTTCTTGCTGCTGTCTTTGTTCTTCTTCTTCTTGTGCTTGTGTTTCTTGGCAGGCTTGAGAGACAACCCACCCTTGAGCTGCAGCTTGCCGCCGACGGTCTTGCTGTACGACGACGACATGCCGTTGTAGAGTACCGAAAATGACAAGAAAAAAACACGTTTGGTCATTTCGCGTGTTTTGGGGAAAATGACAAAAAAAGCATTTTTTGGGAAATTACAAAAAACAAGCATTTTTAGTTTACAACCAGTTCGCGGCACAACTGCATAGAGTTGTTACAACTAACGGATTTTTACGAATAGTAATTGGTCTTCTATTTTTTTATTAAAGGCCCCATAAATTCGATCATTTTTGACGAGGGGTCTTCTATTCGTAGAGAGCTTCTATATCCTACTCCACTACGCCAACCTCACCAAGTGCAACATCGGTGTCGTTGAAATTGAACGGGTCCTTACTCTCGAACTCTGTAGTTAGCTCGCTTCCTGCCTAATCACGGCTCCAAGACTGCTAGAACTTCCATCAGTAGACGTCGTGATTCCATATAAATCAGCGCGTGGAATCGACATGAAAATCGGCAGCCTCAATCGAGCTCAGTACAACGGACTGAGGAGTGTCGCGCCACGCTTGGCGCACGCAACCACACACAGTAGCTACAGGAGGCGGGCGACGGTTACCATTGCGAGTGTACTCCACAGCGTCCAAACGCTTCCAAGCGTCGATCAGGACCGATAAGCTGTCCTTGAATGGTACTGGTTGAGCGCTAACGTTGCGGTCTTGTAATCGTAGAGGGTTTCAAATTCAAGAACAGCATCAAACATTTGACGGGGGTTTTTTATTCGTAAAAATACGCTATAATCGTCGATTGGCCATTCCGACTCAGTCGTCAGTTCATATTGATTTGTCGCACAAACGATCGTGTCGACTCCAATTTGTGGTGTCAACCAGTACCTTCTAAACCTGATCTCGGCTCTCTGTACACTCACGTACTGGCTAAACATCCCCTACGCTCTCAACCACCCCTCCGACCTCCTAAAATTTCACCGATTGCAAAACTGTCCTTACTTCTCTAAAGTCAGTAATAGCTCATTGCCATGGAGGGCGACACCGAAGACTTATCGCTGATCCACGCACGCCAAACCACGGTATCACTCAACCGTCAGATCGACAGCCACACACAGTTGGTGGCATTGGTATCGTGCGAGCTGCCAAGCAATTTCTTCCGCTTGCTGCTCTTCTTGGCGGGAGATATCCACGCACGCGTCACTAAACACCGACAGTGGCTTGCAACAGAGGCAGCCAAGACACAGCACACCACGTCTTCATGAAGCATCGACACGGTGACTTCAGTACGAAGCAGCAGCCCGTACCAGGTCTTGAATGAGTAATGGTTGCTACACGGTGGCTCGCGTAGTTACCATTGCGAGGTTGGTCTGGTAACACAGTGAAGTGCAGGGGCAAAAGTCCAGCAGGGAAAAGGTCGAGTGCTGCTGCTTGCTTCGCGCTGTGCAAGTTAACGAGTGAGCAGAAGCACCTCGACAAAACCCGAGTAGTGTATTTGCAGGATAAGCGGTAGGACGGGGCTTGCCTCTTCCTCTTCACTTGACACTCCCACTTGATCAAGCCGTAGTTGTCGGTACTAGCTAGGTAGCGTGGCACTCGTTTAGCAACAGCATAGTGTGTGTGGTCGAAACAGGACATGTACTTGCTGAGATGACGCACAGCGTGCACAATGTCCGGCCTTGAGGCTGAGACCAGATACTGTAATGCACCAGCGAGCTCTCGGTACGGGGCGGTGCGTCCTCTTGGACGGGCTTGGCCACCTTAGCGCTCAGCGCCTCAGGCGTTGGAATAGCATTGCATCCTTCCATATGAAATCGCTTCGACAACTCCCAAATGTACTGCCGCTGGTGATCGATTAGAATCTCCACGCCCAGGGTACTCCGAGAGCATACTCCTCACTGAGTTGTTTAGCAGCCTTAGCGCACAGGTCGCTTGGTCCGAGTAGCAGTAGCTTGTCGACGTACACCGTGAACAACACGGTGACTTCTCCTCCCACTTTTCTGGCGTAGAATCCATAGTCAGAGTCAAGGCGCTCAAGTCCAATTTTCGTCAGAAACTTGTGCAATGTCTTGTTCCAAACGCGCTGCGCTTGCTTCAGCCCGTGCAAACTATTATTGAGTCTGCATATGTAGCGTGTAGAGTCTTCTCCAGAGCCTGGAGACTGCTCCATGTAGACCTCTTCGTCAAGATAACCGTACAAGAACGCGGTCTTGACGTCAAATAGCCCATTCACGTAACGCAAACACGATCACGCCTGATCGTCTCGAACCTGATCACAAGTGCGTAGGTTTCGCTGTAGTCGATGCGCATGCGATGCAGGAATCCTCTGATTACCAACCTGGCATTGTATCGCTTGATCCTGCCGGTTGAGTCCCTCTTCAACGCATAAACCCAATTGCACGAAATAACACGCTTGTCCTTGGCCTCTGTGCGCGGCACGAGCACCTAAGTTCCGTGCTGCTGTTGTGAGTCCATCTCGACTTTCATGGCTTCTTCCACTCCATCCACCTCTTCGACCTTGGTGCATGTTTGTGGCTGATAGGAATCTGTACATCCTCAACGCGCTGCGTCGTCACGCTCGTTACTACGTAGTCCTTGAAGCAGGCGGATCGCTGTCGCTTCTGCTTCGGTCGCGATGCAGCGGCATTGCTGTCGTCGTGAGGGTCATGGCGGCAGTCCTTGGTCGGCGAGGCTCCCACCCGATCTCCACACTTCTTCTGTTCCTTTGTGTTGTTCCTCCGCTTTTAAACTCCAACTGAATCTGCTGGCTCAGCAGTCCTTTCTGCATCTTCTCTTGTCCCAACTGGGTCACCGCACTGAGTCGCAGCCTCAGCTTCAAGTTCTTTGACTTAGTCCTGACTCTCACCAACAATGGGTAGCTTCGCCATCGGTGCTGCTCGCCTCTCAACAAGCTCTGCTGGTAAGGGAAGGTATGATGCATCGTAGTCCGGATCGGCACGATCGGGGTCTCCGCAGGTAAGTTGTAGTCTCCATACTGGTAGGCTATAAGTAGGAGCTGCTCAACGTACACACTGCGCACATGCCACTGCTCATGAGCCTTATGTTGCCATCTTGACATGTCGTAACTGATCCTGAGCGCAGGTTCAGCAACTTGTAGCCCTTGGTTTTCTCGCTGTAGCCAAGTAGTAAGCACATCTGAGTCCTTGAGGAGAGCTTCTCCTTCGTTTGTCGAGAGTCTTCGGGGATGAGCGCGTTCACTAAGCATCCCCACGTGCGCAGATGCTGGGGTCTGGTCGCTCTCCGTACAGCGCTCGGTACGGAGACTGCTTGTCCTCAACGCCTGCGTAAGCGCCATGTTCATCGTCTTGATTGCATGTAGGATGCCTCACCAGTGAGACTGGCATCTGCGTAGCATGCAGCATCGAGCGGACCTGTCGCATGACGGTCCGGTTCGTGCACTCCACAATCGCGTTCTCCTGCGGGCTGTAGGGGCTCGATGAACGCGTGTCGATGCCGAGGTCCTCGCAAAAGTCCTCGAGCTTCTTGTTAACAAGCTCGCCACCACCATCGGAGAACAGTATCTTGATAGTGGCTCTCGGGAACTGGTTCTGAATCCAACAGATTCGCTTCTGCGTCAGCTCCACAGCTTCTTCTTTGTAGGCCAGCAAATAGCACCGCTCGCACCTTGTAGTTTCATCACTAATCAATAGAAATTGATTTGACATTGAGACAGTTCGTCGTTCATCCTATCAGACCGAGTGTGTTGCAGCTCGTTCGACTTGGAAGTGGTCTGCGCAAGATCTATCGAAGGTCAGTTGTTGGAAAGGCACCGTCGGCGTCGAGGACGA